GGCAGCGGCTCCCCCTGCGCTCCCTCGGCGTTGGAAGAGAAAAATGGAGTTGGGCTCTGCCACGGGGCGAAGCGCTTGCTTCCCCCGCTGCCTGCTCACTGGGAGGGCCGGCGGATGGGGCTGGGGCTGAGCTGGGCTGGGCTCGGCTGAGCTGAGCTGAGCCGGTCACCTGCGTGGGGCTGGGGGGCTGTGGCAGCAGCAGGGGTACCCGTGCCAGGCTGCGAGCGCTCCGTTACCTCCTGCTCAGGCTGCGAGATGGGGAGCGGGCGTGAGAGAAGAGCCAAGCCTTAGGCGAAGGCAAAGTCTGGCACGAGACAAAAGTCAATGTGAACTGGGCAGTACCAGGACTCAATGGAACAAGAGGTAACCGGTCACGAACACCTTTTGTCTACATGAGACCCAGCTCCTGCTGAGCCTGGAACATCGCAGGAGCCAGGATTGGGGATCTGCTGCAGTACACAGATACTCCTGCGGGCCTGTGCTGTACTCTTTTAAATCTGCCTTCATGCCAGTTTGAGCATTACTCACTGCACGTCATCGTCTCCACACGGTTAAATAATGGTGGATGTCAGAAAGAAGAAAATTCTTTCTTCCACTTAAAAGTCCATCTTGTTTTTTTAAAAAGTTTATTTGCATTGGGCATGTTAATTCAATGTTTGCAACTTCATTTGCAATGAGTATGTTCTGTTTGAATTGCATATATGCATCTGTATTCTGAGCTTTTCATTCTAGACTCAATTTACCCAATGCTAGTAACTGATGGAGTACAGAATGTTTCTTCACACAATCTAGCAGAACATACCCTAGCTGTGTGTTTAATACATGGCAAGGCTGTAAAAAATCCTCTGTATTCTTACTCTTGTTCTGAGAGGTCTTTACTGATGTTCTTTGATATTTTGCATGTGACTTTAAAAGTCTTTGCTTGATGAATGGCTGCAGTGTGTCATGGGCACACAATAACTTGCTCCAGAACTTCCAGTTGATTTCCTTCACTGTGGTGGGAGAGGGCCAGACTTAAGGTATTCATACACCGAACTGTGGAAGGCTTGTTGTCTGATTAGTAAACATTTGAGATTCCATCTAGAACATGACTGTTGAAGTGCAGTTGCTGTAAGTGTGGTGTAGTTCTCCTCTGTAGGCAGCTCGTGCTTGGCACAGAATAAAGACTGAGCACTGAATGAATTTTCAGAAAGCTGTGCTGACCAATCTGAAGTTAAAGGCCTGACAAACAGCTCTTTCACATGCTTACAAAAATAAGTTGTAGAGTTCTGCCCAGACTGGCTTAAAATGCAGGAGCATGTAGAGACCCAGAAGGGAGAGGAGCGAGCCACTGCCTTCTGGACACACACCAGCGGCTCCCGTGTCAGGGTAACACAGGCTGCTCTCTGATGCAAGCAGCCCAACGCCACCACGTTCCCCCAGTGAGTTCTGCTAATCACACCAGTGCAGCCTCCATTCAGTAGATAGGCCAAAAGCACGTTTGACATGCGCATATCCAAATTACACTGGAGCAGACTGGTCAGAGGTATCTTGATGGATCTTCTAAGAAAGAAGTTTAATATGGGGTGATATCAGCAATAGGAGATGGTTTCTTGAGGAATAAATAGGTCCCCTTACTGACCTCATATTTTTGTTTTAACTGCAGGTTTTATTCTCAGATGCGCAGGGTGGCTTTGTTTTGCAAACTCATCTCTGCACAGTCTCAGTTTCTACTCATTTGGTTGAGTACTGAAAACAATGGGTAACATTCAGGATTCAGCCAGAACATTATTGTCCTGTTGAGGTTTTTTTCGCACACTGAAAAATAAGATGATCTGTACTGTCAAAGGTTCCATACCTATAGCATATACAGATAGACAGATGCATTAATTACTTTTTCTTCAAAATTTCAGCATTTTCAATGTCATGAAATGTGTCCATTCCTTACGAAGGCAGACAGCACCCAGAACTAGATAGCCAAGAAGTGACAATTTAGGATTGATGTGAATTACCTCGGCTGTTGAGCATATACTTCTTTTAGGTGGCAGCCCTCTATATACACTCTAGTAGCTGATTCAGCGTGGTCCTTTTGTAGACAAGCCTGTAAAAAATAAAATCAGTCTGTAAATTGACATTAAAATAATGGGACAGATAACAGCTAGAGTACATTGGTATAGCTCTGGATGCTCACTAATCCAAATTCTATGTGACAGTGAATTCAATGGCCCTAATGCTGTCAGTGAAAGACCCATAGAAAAAACTTAGCTTAGCCTCTCCCTTAGTCAGACCCTGAGGGGTCTGAAATACACAATGAACTGAAACTGGTTAGATTCTAATTTGTTTGATAATTACTTCCCCATGAATACTTTTCCACATGGACATAGTCCAGTCAAAAAATGTTATAAAACAGTAACATCACCAAGAAATTCTGCAGAGATGTCAGACCTACATCTTTGATAGAACCTTATCAATTGTCCAATACAGGTTTTTAAATTGTGTGTGGGGGGTTCTATTCTTTTTTTCCCGTTCTTCTTCATTCTTGTTTACTACCCATAATGTTTCGGTATCGACTTTGATCACTTGGGGAACAAGTATGTCTGAAGTCTGTTTAAATCCAGTAAGAGTCCATCAGTGCTATACAAAGTTATTGCTACTTCTCAATTCTTCTCTCTGGGAGGGTCCTTTGGGGTGGCAGCTCTGCGCTACCTAGCCCATGTCCTCATCTTTACTTTCAGATAATGGAATATGTTTTAATTTTAGTGATTGTGGCACCTTGATAGTTTGTCTTTAACTTACTTAGTGACTGAGTTTTCACTGGAGCAATGAAAAATATCCAATGCTTTTAACTGCTGGCTTTCTTTAAATTTCTAAATATTTGCAATTGAAATCAGAATTGTGTTCTACTTGGCCTGTTTTTCTCAGCTGTTCAGTTTCTAAAAGAAACAGCTATGGCTGCAGAGCCAAATTTGTATGACTGGAGCCCAAAATGAGGAAAAATAAATTACTTTCCTCATAAATAATTTATACTTCACCAATTTAGTGTAATGAATAGGCTAATCAGCATTCTGCTTGGAATGAGAAAAGGCCTAATCTTGCTTTAGTGTATTTCACATTTACCATGGTGCTATCCGTCTGAGCAACATTATTCTTTAAAATGTTCTTTACGCTTACCTTATAACTAGTGAAGTGATTTAGTAGTAGATAATAAAAAATATCCCTCTAAGAAATCCCTGCTGATTTCTGTTTGTTGTAGTTACTAGGAAAGAGGTTATCCATTCTTTCCATCATTGATCCTGAAGTAAAGTATTGAGTTGCTGCTGACAAAATCAGCGACTGGCAGCCTGTGGGTGAATACTGGCAAGAGCAGAGCAACCTGGCCTCTTCTGTTGGACGGCTCCCTTCGGCTGCCCGTGTACAAAGTCACTGCAGTGCTGAGTTTTTTTTATCTAGCACAGGGGGCAAAAGCAACTCTTCATTCCCTGGAAAGCAACGACACTGGAAATCATAGTGCAAAACTCATTGTCTGCTTCCATGGGATCTTTGAATACATGTGAACAGAGACGAGCATAACACTGATCTCAGCTCTGTATACTGCATCGGTGAGACTGAGACTCACGATGTATGACTCGCATTTTTGAAAGGAAGAAGGAAAAAATGGAGCATTGAACGAGAAAAAGGAATTATTGAGGGCTAGCACTGCTAGTTATGCTTTAAAAATCTCCCAGTGTTAGTTTACTGAAAAGAAAGCTGAGAGAAAATACGGTTGTGATGTGTCAGAACCTCCTCAGGGAGAGAATAGGAAACAAAGGGCACTTTAACTGAGAGGGGCATGAAGAGTAGATGGAAATAGAAGTCAGACAAATTAAAATTTAAAACAAGATGGCATTTGTAAAAGTACAGCTGCTTAATCACTGGAACAAACTATGAAGAAATACAGTGGATCCTTCATTTTTCAATGCTTTCCTGTGTACAAGATGCCTTTCTGGAAGAGCTGCTTTAGTTCAGAGTTACTCAAACTTTCTGGAAATGCAGTACTCGCCTATGGGTGTTCCCCAGAGTTGGCAGCAGCAGCTCAGTTTCTTCCAGCTGAGAAAGGAAAACCAGAATAAATACTCTGTGTTTATACTTCTGCTCCCTTTCAAAAGAAACAGAG